ATGTAGTTGTGGTATATAATTTCTGAACGGGAATAGCTAATCGGTCGATTTTAGTCAAGAAACATTGTTTTATAGCTTAATTAATATCTTGACCTTGAGAAGGAGCTACAATGTATACAACATAAAGGATTTATTATTTACAATTTCATATCTTTAGAGTCGATTTCGACCACGAAAACAATCAGTGAATATTGCGGGATCGCATATGCTTCCAATATGTTCATTTGAACCAAATTCACGACCCCATACCAAAACTTTGTATTACCTTTAAAAGAGATAACTGGCCAAATTATGTTTTGAAACACAATGCGGAATCATAGATGATTCATTATGGAATTTTTCATGAATTTTCTTTATTATCCCTAAAGGCCATTAATGAGTAAGAGCTGATGAATTGTCAGATATATGAATAAACAAGCAACCATCCCAAAATTGTGGAGGTTTTGATCTGAAAATACCTTTTTAAAATTTTAAGGGGAACATGTATCAAACATATTTCTTTCTATATAAATTTTACACTTTGTTTGCATTCAATTGATAAGCGGCTGCGGCCCCACAGCCGTGGCTAGCAGTCATGCAGTAACATAATGGCGGCGATCACCTTCATTGGGGGAAAATCAACCCCGTTACCCCCTCAAAACATGGTCCTGAGAACAAATATACGTCCGTTTCATAACATTTCAATATTACCAAATCAACATGCAAACCTCAGTTACAAAGCTGACTCATTATAACATTTTCTTGCTCAAAGTGTTATTTTCAGGAACTTTTTGAAAAGTTGATCGTATTTTTCGCAAGACCAAAACAAAGGATATGAACTGTGCGCGCGATCTTAATAATTTGCATAATCATGAATATTTACTGGCAAAAAAACCAATCACAGATCATGGCTCTTGAAAATGCCTCTGTGTAGAAAATGAATAGGAAAAAAGTGTGTCGGATTGAAGTGTGTCAGGTAGGTCAGAAAGAAGTGGTACAGTAAATGGATAAAGAAACCATTTTGAAACTACTTGAGAAATTGATATGAGAAGAATTTACAACATTTTTTGGAGAAACCTGTAAAACCTATTTTCAATATTGCAAGGTTTTGACACCACTTTATGTCTTGAAATGATCAACAAAAGGCCCCCAAAAATATCATCATCAAATGTCTTTTGCAGGGAAGTACTTCATGGAACTTGCATCGTTGCAGTGTATGAAAGTTCAGTGCTTCCTGAGGATCAGGCCAAGCCTGCATATGATATCTACTCTACCTTGCTCGCTGATTGAATGATCGTAAACGTGTACACTAGTAATTAATTCACTGAGCGTTTGTGGGATAGCTTGGAAGCTAGCAGCGTGTCTAATTATCGCTGCCCCTTGCTGTAACTACCTCTCATTAATCTTCATCCTTCTCTCTCTCTCTCTCTCTCTCTCTCTCCTACCCATCATGTAAGACCTATACCCATGAACCTTTCAACATCTCACTGAAATGAAAAGGCAGCTGTCCTGGAGAGAGACAGACAGAGAGAGGTTACCTGGTGTCCAACATGTCCTATCACAGCATCATATATGATAATTGTAGGCTATGTGTAGGCTATATGTGTAGGCTATGAGTTACAACTGACCATGCTGGTTGTGTGCTTCGAGTGACCAAGTAGTGTATAGTATGGCTACTTACAAGACATTTACAAGATTTACTTACAAGAAACCCAACAATCAAAGGTTGACTGGTTGATTTAGGGCCCTCATTGAATACTTATGGATGTAGGCTTTATGTCACATTCTCAAGAAACTTAAATTGGGACAAATCAATTTTTAACACTCTTTAAAAATCACAAAACTTGGTAAGCATATGGATATTTTGGTTCTTAACTGCATGACAGTACAATGAGAACAACATATGCTGCATCGTGGACACTACCAAGCTATATACTAACCAAATTCCTAAATTCAACCTGAATGCCTGGACCCAACGCTGTACCTAAACCATAACCCTAACCCCAACCCTTAACCTAACCCTTAACCCTAACACTTAACCCTAACCCCAACCCTTAACCTAACCTAAACTCAATTGCAACCCAGACCCTGACTCTACCTTTGATTAAAGGCATCATTTTACAATGTTTAATCTGAGATACACGGCCCTATGTGTTATCAGTTTCTGTGATATGGTGTAATATTGAAGCCCTACAAAAATTGCGCTTCAAAATGATCAAGAAGTGCCTCAAACAAGTAAAAATCTTTGAATGACCGGTTTTACCATGCTTGTTTTCCCAAAAAGACTGTATTATGAAAACTGTTTAGCAACGGTTTTCAAAATTTGTAATTCCAATCATAACTATCTTGATAATCAGACAGGCAATCAGCTTGTAAAAGTCATGGAGTTCCTGACTGACCTAAAGGTTTATAATTATCATTGCAGCATGAGGTAAAACCAGGATTTTGTTTCAGAATCTGAGACAAAATTACCAGATCCCTTTAATAAAGTCCTAAGCATCTCTTTACAGAATAAATTTCGGATCACTACTTTTTTTGTGGCAATAATTGTTCACATATTGTGGGGTTAGTGACACAAAGACAAAACTCCATTTTGAGAAAAAGTGGTTCATGTGTCACTGAGCACTTGGGCCATAACGTGTTAAGTCTATGTTTGTTGGGTGGAGTTAAGTCTTTGTGTTTCCTGGAAAGCCCACATTTTTCTGAACATTTTGATATCAAATACCCATTTTGGTATTGAACCCTCATTGCAGGAAGTTGGGTTATGTGACATGTTGTGATAGCTGTGATTCACAACTCTTTTGTGTCTAGTTTACTGACAAGAAACATTTGCTACTCTTGACCATTTACTGGGATTTCGGACAGTGTAATGAATGCAAACGTTTCTAATGCTCTACAGGCATAAAATTTATTGTACAAGAAACTTTCATGAAGTGTGGTCCAGATTTTTGACATGTGATTTGTGACGTGCCGTAAAATAAATCAATCACGACAATGAATGTTTACGATTTGCAACAGTTTCTAGCGACAATATGGCAGCCATCACCGTGAGAACTTATTTAGGTTCATGTCCCATTCTTTAGTTTACTCATAACATGATGGTTGCTAGGTAACAAGGGTAAAGATGCAGGGCTTGCTCATAACATTTAGGGGGTGTTTCACAAAACTTGTCATCAGTGACAAATGACAGTTTTGTTATAAGCTAGATCCTTGCTTCTGCTTGGTTATCGGCAGATTTGTCACTGATTTTTGTCATTTGTCATTGAAAAAAGCCTTTGTGAAACAGGTTCCTGGATCTCTCTTTAATGATGTGATGACATACAGCATCTTCTGAAGAGAATATTTCTACATGAACTCCTCCCCTGGGTGATAACATTAATTCATTCTCCTGGAGAAGATCAGAGCAGACTGATCCAAACATCGAGAACCAAAAAAGCTCTTAGAGAAGCCTTGTTCTTTTGAAAGCACTATAACCTTGGAAACTTTACCATCAGCTCACCTTCTCCACCATGACAAGCTTGTACTTCATTTAAGAAATTTAACTTCTTAGTAACAGACGTAAGTGAAGAGGAAATTGACGATAAAACAGTAAGATAATTGACAAGATTGGTTATGTGTCTTTTTATGAAAAGTTGAGGCTGACCATTCGGTCATATTGAAGAATGATCTGATTACTTGGAAATGTGTTTGTACAGGCGAGAGAAATGGTATGTCGTCAATTAAGAAAATGTATGCGATATATAAGAATGCAGTACCGGTACTTTGTTAGAATTGTATTATGTCTTTTGAACACCACAAACATGAATTTAATAATCTATAACTTTGGTCCTGTAGCAAGAAAGTGTGTCTCCAACCAACAGAGATCAAAGGTTATGATGTGATGAAAGCTATGTAACTTTTGATGGATATCTAACTGATGAGGTTACACTTCCTAATGAATACGAGATGAGTGACCGACCGATCGGTAGAAGATATATAGACCCTGTGCCTCAGCAAAGGAATAAACATGTATGTTTACTTCAGGAATAGGTTATTTTATAGCAGTAGGGTATGCTCCTAATTTTTAGTTTTGTGTTCTGGCGTTTATCCAGTGACAATTTCTGTTTCATTAAAATAATAATAATTAACTCTTAAGCAAATGATTTTCAGTAATCATTGAGTACTCTAAGTTTGTCTCTTTTTATATGTTTCTTTCAGCATAATTCCCTTGTATACTCCCAAAGAATCCATTTACTCTCTCTCCCTCTCTCTCTCTTTCTCTCACTCTTTCTCTCACACACCCTTCTCACTTGCCTCAAATAACTAATACAATTAATACAGTAAAGAGTAAATAAACCAAATTACTGATAGGCAACTATGTACATCTCCCATTGCCTCTCTCTCTCCCCCTCCCTCTCTATTTCTCTCTCTCTCTCTCTCTCTCCCTCTCTATTTCTCTCTCTCTCTCTCTCTCTCTCTATCTGTATCTATCTATCTATCTATTTATCTCTCCCTCTCTCTCTATCACTCTCTATCACTTTCTCTATCGCTATCTCTGTCTCTCTCTATCTGTCTCTCCCTACCTCTGTCTCTCTCTATCTCTGTCTCTCCCTATCTCTCTCTATCTCTCTCTCTCTTTCTCTATCTCTATCTCTCTCTATCTCTCCCTCTCTCTCTCTTTTTTTTTCTTTCTCTATCTCTCTCTCCCTCTCTCTCAGTCTCTTTATCTCTATCTCTCTCTCTCTCTCTCTCTCTCTCTCCCTCTCTATTTCTTTCTCTCTCTATCTATCCCTCCATCTCTATCTCTTTCTCTATCTCTATCTCTCTCTATCTCTCCCTCTTTATCACTATCTCTATCTCTCTCTCTGTCCAACTCCCTCCCACCATAATTTCACTTGACTGCATGCACAGTAATACACCACAAAGTGTTAACCTCCTACCTACAGGAATCTGTTGGATCCTGTGTTACACCTATGAGAATATTCAAACTCAGGAGACCAAGGGTTAATAAAATCAATAGATTCTCATGCAGAAGACCTTACCTCCTCTGCTGCCTCCGCTGATTCTCTCTCTGCCCTCTCCTTCGCTCTCTTCTCTCTCCTTTCTCGTCTCGATCTCTCTTCCTCTGTTTCCTCCGTCGGCCCGTTGGTCTCGGCATCCTCATCCCCTCTATAGGAAACAAATACACAAAGTTAGTTCCATTGACACTTACAAGAAATCTAAAAATACATGATCAGTCTCAATTTCCTTCTGTATGGTGCTTACAGACATTGATTGTTGACCATTGATGTATAAAATAAATAAATTCATTAAATGACAATAAATATTATTCTATGAGTACAGTAATTAGTATATTTACATTCATTCAATTACACATGGAATGTGGGTGCTAGGCCTATGTCAGAAGACTAACATAATTGAGGTTTCAATAAACCTTGATTAAAGAATACTTTAAGTGTACTGATCATCTCATAAGGACTGTAATCATTTTGTTACAGGATTACAGTTTATTAATCTGCTTTCATGCATACAGGTCATTCATTGATCGTTAAGCATACATGTAATTGGTCAATTTGTCATCCTATCTTATTTCTCTCAATTAAATCAGTACTCTATATTGACCACTTATCTTGTACTTTATTATGAAATGTATATGTAACATGAGAAATGTGAATAAATGAAAATATTGACATACTTTAGTTTGGAAGGGATTGATTCACTTTGATCTGCTGATTACAGGGTTTGATTTGATTTGATTTGATTTGATTAGATTTTGCACCCACTTATCTGGTTGATGTATGACTTACTTTTATATCTACTGTTGCCAAAATGTAATATTTCAAATGTTAAACCATCAAACATGTATTACCAATACAAATGAACTTTCATGATTTGATTTGGTTCAGTTTGATTAGATTTGGTTTGGTTTGGTCTGATTTAATTTGATTTGATTTGATTTGATTTCAAAAGATTTGATTGAATAAAAAACCAAGGAAACAATAAACTGGCAGAGAATACAATAATGACATCATTTTGATATAACTCTAAAGCCAAAATATCTTCTCCAACTGCTTATCATTAGGCTACCTAGCTTGATGTAAACATGGCGAGCTTGCTATCACATGGGGGTGTTTTACAAAGATCCTAATTTGAACTTAACTCTAAGTTTGACTTACAAATTATGGAGTGTCATTTGTAGCCTTAAAATAAAATATATTCAAAAGTGAAAAATCAATTATTTTAGACTTTTTATAAATTCCACATCAAGAACATGAAACCTCCTTGATAATAGAAAATATAAATGATTTGAATTAAAGGTAAAGACCAGTTATGGTCATGCGATTGCATTGTGAAAGAAACGTTGTGGAATCGATCAGAAAAGGTTGATCATCTAGCATCTAGCATCTACAAGGTTCTGGAATCATCAAAATGATGAGAAATTTGGCCCATTCTTCATAAAGTTACAAGCACTATACACAGAAAGATGTATATGGGACTACCCTATATCTCTCACAGTCCATGAGTGAAACAATTTACCAAATATATGAATTAGTAGGCGGTTTCCTGGCAAATTTGTTATCATCATGTATTAGTCAAAACATATTCTTTCACATGATTGGTAATGAGAGCTTCCATTTCATTTTTTGAAACTGGGGCATTTCCAATACTAGTCTTTACCTTTAACATTTTATGCCTTTTAAAATAACTTTTACAAAATATTGTCATAGATGGCTAATGGCTTTCCATAATTTTAAGTCCAACCTAGAGATAAGTTCAGTTTCGGATCTTTGTGAAACACCCCCCCCCCCCCCATGACTAGTAGACTAGCTATCACCTATAGCTCTAGACCCCCGCTGGTCTGATGCACACGGAAGCAGAGCATCAGACAGTAGAGATCTACACTCACTACATCTCTCTATGTACATGTTCATCTCCCAATTAGAATTCCAATAGCCTTATAAGGTCTGTCCATCAATAGAGTTCAGACTGACTTTATCCCAGACCTGCTGTAGAGTATGAAGCAGTGAGTGACATAGATTGTCGTTTGTTCAGTGATCAGTGATGAACTGGGCACTCATAGGCTCTGCACTTTGGCAACACATCAATGTAAACTCTACATGTACAGAGTTTCGCCATACAAATTTAGTTTTCAGAATTTGGTACACTACCTGTCTGTGAATATTCTGGTTTGTCAACTTATCAAAAAAGGTTGATTTTTGAACTGCTTCTACAGCGTTTTTCAACTTCGGATTTTTGTAACGATGAAGTAGTAATAGTTGAAGCGGATATTTGTAATACAGTATAGAGGTATAAAAACCAAATACTGATTGAATAATATTTTTGTTTGATTGCATGGTCTCTCAAACTGCCCACTCGTATATTTGTTTGTTTTAATGAAATATACCCTAGTCAAAATAAAATTGTCTAAAACTTGTCGAAATAGTAAAATGAAACCAGCAATGAGTTTTGTTTTGTTATTTAAACTCTGAATATATTTTTCATCTATCTTTGGTCCAAATTCTTAGCAATTTTTTTCTATATTTTTGTGTCAATTGTCCATATTTTATCATAGCAAAATATGCTTTTAAAAAGTCTAGTTTTCTAAGAAATTTCATAAAGTATACAGAATATAGCAATTTCTTTTAATTCCCATGTGAAAAATGAGGAGGGTAATGATATCCCTCCATCAGTATAAACGAGCCCATTGATAGTAATGATGTTTACAGAACCTATAATGTGTCAAGGTATGATGATATGACCCCACAATGACATCCAAGGAATGCAGAGAACAGATGAGAGGAAAAGATAGAGAGAGGGAAAGATAGAGAGACCGGTCTCCTGAACCATGCAGCTATGGATTCAATGATACAGCACAGCGTGTACAGGACTGGCATGGTCTGAAGATGGCATACTATCATCTTAGGATACATTTATGCTCAATTTTGAAGGCAGAATAAGCGATTTGAAACGCTCATCGTAAACGCTCATCGTAATCGCAGTTCCACGGTGCACTGTTTATGCTCACTTCTCTGGCTCATACAGGCATGATTATGGCTCTGCAGCTGGATTCGCAAACCTTCACTACGCATGCTATGTTAAACCCATTTAAACGCGTTTACAAATGATTGTGGTTTTATGCTTCCCCAGAATCGCCGATCCAAAACGCACCTTTTTGTGAGTTAACGATCAGCGGTTATGATCGCCTTTTTTTTCGGTGATTCTACAAAAATGAGAAAGGGTGCAACCGTGTTTTGAACTAAACGCGTAACAAATGCCTCATTCTGGCCAGAAAAAATTGAGCATAAACGTACCCTTAGATTGATATATGTCTATATATGGAGCAGAAACATTAACCCAGGTTATGGGAAAAAAGTAACATCATTTCAAATATGGGTGTACAGGAAAATGAAGAGAACAATATATGGCAGGGCTTAAACAAGATATCCTCATAGGAATAGTGATAAAAAGAAAGGCGAAATATCTTGGTCATATCAAAAGATGTTGGAGTCTCTTGGAAGATTTGTTAGAAGAAAAAGAGGAAGGTACTAGACTAGAGGGAAACAAAGAACCAACTTCAAGGTGAACATAAAATCCTGGAGTGGGATGACAATGCCGTTGTGTAATAGATTGGCAGATAGGAGAGAGTTGCGTTGAAAAAATGTTGCAATCAACCTCCGACCTGAGAGAAGATACCAGGATAGATAGATTGCAATGATGCAATGATGTCATGGCCAGTATACCCTGTAGTACACTTCAAGGCTTTAAAAGAGCGACATTGCATTATTTAGAAATATACACGTTTCATTTAATTTCAAATGACATGTATATTATACAAATAATGAATGGTTATGAGTTCAATAGTGCGAATATTTTCATGAGTTGAAAGATTAACATTCTATTCAACGAGGCGTCAGCCGAGTTGAATAGAATTAACGTTAATCTTTCAACGAATGAAAATATTCGCACCATTGAACGAATGAAAAACATTCATTATTTGTTTTAAACAACATCAAAGAAGATCTAATAGAACGTTAATCAACAAATTATGCTTTTACTCCTTATATTAAAGATAAATTAAAGTTGGAGTCAAGCCTTCTCGATTACATTCAGATTGCCTAAGCTTCGCGTCAGATACACGCAGGGATACGCGCGCGCACGGCTGAGAGGTACGCAGTCTGCATATAACCAAAAATGCACGGCGCATATAACCAAAAATGCACGACCGTGCAATATAACATCTATTGAATATCATGTGACCAACAATCCTCCAATCAAATGACAAGGATCCACGTAGGTGTTGTATAAAATACAATATGAACAACTCAATATATAAATCAAGGATGATCATATAGATTATAATTTAGTTTTGCATATTCATCTTCTTATTTTGCAGATTCTACCAAACTTGAATAAACTACATGAACAAGAACTATTATTGCATTCAAGTGGGCATTAAGATCAGTTTTATAACTGTTATTCTATTAATGTACTGATTTCTACATCTAGGTAAAGAAACTGATAGAAGATTAATTTCTCACAAAAATAATTTCTGTTTTCAATTTTGAAGGAAAGACTTTCAAAATATCACATCTATTACTGGAAGAATGAATGAAGACAAAGTACCCGTATTTAGATTACGAAGCCTCTCTCTCTCTCTCTCTCTCTCTCTCCAACCCATAGACTGATAACCACACAGTGCATAGAGTCTTATATGGGCATCCAAATACTAACCACAACATTTTGATCTCTCTCTCTCTCTCTCTCTCTCTCCCTCTCTCAGACCTTATTGCTTAAACCTATGGCTATCATAGACTTGTAGTATCCACAGACAAAAGACAAAAAGTAAAAAAACAAAAGTTTTCTCACTCAGGAAACCTTCATTAGTTTCTTGAGTAGCAAAGATTTGTGAAAGTAAAGATGAGAATGATTTTTTCTTGTAACAAACACATCGATCATAAACAACCAGCAAAATTCCAGGTCACAAAACATTCAGTTTTGCAGAATATTGTAGTATGCATCTAGAATCCTGTGATCAAAATAATTCTAGCCTACATAGTATTTTACAGTAATTACAGTCTGACGAAGGTCAATAGCCATGGCTTGCTTCTCCAAAGTCAGTAGAGAGACTCATGTACACACTACACTCACCTGCCTGCCTTTTGCTACTG